GGCAGGCTGGGGCATCAGACAAAAGCTCTGGTAGCTCTCTCCTGCTACTCTTTGGATGTGGCCAGCCCTCTACTATAGCATATAGCTACATGTATCCTACATGCTGCTGCTAGTGTAGACAAGATCTTCACTGGATATTTTAAATTGTTCTTGAAAAACTGTAGTTTTATTGACGTGATTGAGAAATAGCTGCTTGTATCTTTTCTTGTTTCAGACATAGACTGGTATAATGACACTCTTTACTGGAGCAACTCAACAGGGGAAGTTCATATGTGGTCGCTGAGCAGAACAACAGGTGCCATTGAGATGTCTCATATATCTGACATCAGAAAAGCAAGGATAGTGGCCTTTGATTGGTTGGGCCAGTACTTGTACTGGGCTGGCAAAGCAAATATGGTATGTAAGAGTGTTACACCATGGCTAAAGTAACAAATAACAAAAAAACATTGAATAGTATTTGGAAAGATGTTTAACAACTCTTATCACTTGAGAGCACTGCTGTCGACCCTTTATTTTATAGTAGATAACTTGTAACTTGTAACTAGATAACATTATACCTTTCCTTCCATTGAGATCTTTATTTTTTTCCAGTTATGAAAGGATGAAATGTAATTGAGATGAAATGTAATTATTAATTAAAGCCAGGATACTGAACTGCAGGTTCAAAATATACATATAAATATACATATAAATATAAATAGTTTAGTGTTAGTTAGTGTTCAGCTAAAGATTGCTTAAGTGAATCTCACTTGATGAAGAAATGTACATTTGTATTTTCCTTGGTATTGTACAAAAATTGAGGTGTTTCGTTAAATAAAGGGGTGGTTTTTCAGAAGTCATCTCTGATATACTACTTTGATATTTTGTGCCCAAATAGCTGCAAATGCGCTTTGTGCTCCCAAAATCAGTTGCTTAGCCTTGCAAGTTATATAAAATGTGCCTGCATTAAAAATGCAGTGCTAAGTTATGTGCTATCAAAGTCTATCTCTAATTACATGAGTGCAAAGTTAGAGACTCTTTTGAAAATGAGAACCATGGGTCCAAATGCGCCACTGCCTTGAATCCTAATTTACAGCTGTGCATAGGGAGTGAAGACTGGGTGTGAACTGTGATCAGCTCAGAAGGCTGGTAAAACAAGGAATGGTAAAGAAGGATTAGATGTTTCAGATTTTGCTTTTGTCACTGAATAGCAGAACCTTAATGCTAATTTTGCATAATCCTTTATGCAACACTTTAAACACCTAAGCTTGAAATAAAATGCTGTGAAGTAATCACATACATGTATTCATATGGCTGTGGTTTGTGGCTCATAACTAATGTGTGAGGAACTATGCTATTTCTCACCCTTTCCCCCCAGATCTACAGAAAATCACTGCTGGTAGGACACGTAGATGTTGTGGTGCATGCTGCATTCCCGGTGAAGGATCTTGTGGTTGATGCAATCAATGGCTATCTGTACTGGGCCACAACTTGCTCTGTGGAAAGCACCAGACTGAATGGGGAGAACTACCGTATGTTACAAGAGCAGCCCCGGTTTTCTGGTAAACAGGTGACTGATATTTAAAAATAAGTGTTTTAGTGTCTAATTGCACAGCTTACAGTCCGTATTAGTGCCTGGTGTATCAAATATAGCAATACTTCATTTGTAAAAAGAAGAAATCTTTCATTTGTTATTGGGTGTAACTTGGCATTATACCTTGGTAGTTAATTCCTACAATTATTATTTTATTGAGTAATTATCATGGAAGTGTGAATGTGAATAACAATATTTGTGTTAATCAAGTTTTTAATTTCAGTGACTATCATTAAAAAGTGACTCTTTACCTACTGCTATCCTATAGAGTGAGAGCTATTTTTTTGTATTTAAACAGAGTTGTGGTAAGTCAAAATAGACTTGGACAGTAGTAATGGGCAAATATTGACTTTTTAATAATGACCACTGTAGATCTTGAAGTTCATAAGCTGGTGTAAACCACCTTGGCTCAATTGAAATCCTGTCTGGCCCTGAATGTTTAAAATGACATTTAGAGGAAGATATTGTATTGTATGGTTTCCTGCTGGTTATTTTGCCATTTCTACCCACTAAACCGTTTTTTGGGCTGAAAACCACAGTTTGGCTTTGGTGTCACAGCAAGTAACTAGGGGTATGTCTACACTACCCCGCTAGTTTGAACTAGCGGGGGTAATGTAGTCATCCGCAATTGCAAATGAAGCCCGGGATTTGAATTTCCTGGGCTTCATTTGCATGAAGCTGGCCGGCGCCATTTTTAAATGCCGGCTAGTTCGAACCCCGTGCCGCGTGGCTACACGTGGCATGGAGTAGCTAGTTCGGATTAGGCTTCCTAATCTGAACTAGCTGTACTCCTCATTCCACGAGGAGGATAGCTAGTTCGGATGAGAAGCCTAATCTGAACTAGCTACTCCGTGCAGCGTGTAGCCACGCGGCACGGGGTTCGAACTAGCCGGCATTTAAAAATGGCGCCGGCCAGCTTCATGCAAATGAAGCCCAGGAAATTCAAATCCCGGGCTTCATTTGCAATTGCGGATGACTACCTTACTCCCGCTAGTTCGAACTAGTGGGGTAGTGTAGACATACCCTAGGCTATCACTCACATGAATGTTGCCTGTCTGTAAGCAAGAAGATGGACAATGTATTCTCTAAAGTTTCCCTTCTGTTCCCAAAATAGAATTACTGTAGTGATTGGTTTTGACTTTTGCAAACAAATTAGTCTTATCCATATCAAGTTGGAACGTAAAAAGTAGATAAAGATCCCGATTCTCCACTACATCAGGGCAGCTTTGTGCCATTTCCCCAGTTGATGTATTTGACCATGTGAAGGTTCCTTTTGCCTAAAGGGATTGTCTGTTGCTACAGAGCCATAGTAGCTATTTCTGTATCACTTGCTCTCCCAGCACTGAGGTAGCTGGGGGAAAGACATTGCGACCCTGTCTGCAGGAATGGATCCTGGGGAACACTGGCAGTCAGTGCAGCCAGAGGACCACCTGCCCTCATTAACCCCAGGATGAAGGGAATGCAAATCTGGCTCAAAGGTACTTTTCCACTCCCCTTTCCTCAGCTACACTGGGCACTTTTTAGGAGCAGTCCAGGATGTGGGGCAAATCTTTCAATGTTTTTCCCTATAATAAGGGTCTGTGAATGAGCCGTCACATTTAGGTCCGGCCAGGCCCATCAACAGGGGGAGCAAATTGGACAGTTGCCTCAGGGAACGGTGATTCAGAGGGGCCTGGGGCTTCCAGCCTGCACCACTGCTACTGCAGCTGAGACAACGGCAGGAGCCCTAGCCCTTTAAATCACTGTCAAAGCGTCACACTGTGCACAGTGTGAGGCGCTCAAGTTTGAGAGGGAGCAGTGTCATGCTCCAGGTGGTGTGCAGATAGCTGGCTGCGCTGGCCTCTCCCCTTTCACCCAATGCCATGCCCCATCTGTATGCAGCAGAGCTGACTGCCTCTGTAGCTTCCCTGCCCCCCATCCCCACCCCGATGCTTTGTCCAGGGGCCTACAAAGGCTGTCAGCTCCATCACCATAAATATTCATCAGCACTTGGCTAATAGCTGCCTTCATTCAGGCCGTGACATGTGCTGAGTCTCCTTCTCAGGAAAAAGAGTCCCCTTCTCAGAGCTTGGAATAGTTGTTGCCAAATTACTGTTGAAGTGCTCAAGAATACCAAAAAGGCAGCCTGCTGCAGCATCCATCTAATGGTTTTCTTTAAAGTGCATCTCTTACTGATACAACTTTTTCTTTAAAGTTATACAAGGTGTGCTCCCATCTTCCATAGATACTGCTCATTATCAAAGATCTTTTTTGAACTCCAGGGCTACGTCTACATTGGCAAGATTTTGCGCAAATACTTTTAACGCAAGAGTTTTTGCGTTAAAATATTTGCGCAAGAGAGCGTCTACACTGGCATGTGCCTTTGCGCAAGAGATGTGCTTTTGCGCAAAAGTATCCATACCAGTGTAGACTCTCTCTTACACAAGAAAGCTCCAATGGCCATTTTAGCCATCGGGCTTTCTTGCACAAGAAATTAACGTTGCCTGTCCACACTGGCCTCTTGTGCAAGAACAGTTGCGCAAGAGGGCTTATCCCTGAGCGGGAGCATCATAATTCTTGCACAAGAAGCACTGATTTTCTACATTAGAATGTCAGTGTTCTTGTGCAAGAACTCCCCACCAGCGTAGACAGGCAGCATGTTTTTGCGCAAAAGCGGCTGCTTTTGTGCAAAATCATGCCAATGTAGACACAGCCTCGCTGTTTCTAACTCCCACTGACTTCTTCTTGCTAGTTTCATCACCCTTCCTGGAATCTTTAAACTTTTCAAAATATTTTTCCTCTCCATAGAGGGTAACTAATAACCATCTGGGTTTTTAGGATGTAAAACTTAATGCTGTTAAAGGTAAAAGGCATTTCAAAAGTCAGTTCATCTTACAGGTCTTTTTTTGTTACATCCACTCTGTATAAGAGGGCTCAGCTAGTACATTTAAAGACAAATTCTAATAGTACAAAGATATTACACTCCTAAATACTGAATATTATATTATAATCCTAAATACTGAAGAATTAAAAAGTGATTGCAACGCAGAATAATATTTCCATGCTGTAACGCAACAGATCAATGGGCCATCCACTTACTTGCCTTATGTCCCACTTTGGATGCTGGCCAATGCATATTTCTTCACTGGAAGTTGTCAAATTCCCATGCCCTGTAATGTGCCTAACAAAATGAGATTTCTCCCTGGTGATCAGCATCTACTCTAACACATATGGATTGATAATTCCTACATTAATCTATGATTCTTAAAGTCATCCTTGCCATGCGTTTTGCCCTTCTCCCTTTCTCTGAATCTTTGCAGTTAGCTCCCCGCATCAGCTTCAAGCTTCTCTTCCTGAATTTCAAAGCTTTTGCCAACTCTGCAGCTGTCTGCTTCATTGCTGTTATCCTGTTGCTCTGGTGGTCATTTTTGTGCCAATGGCTGGGGCTTTTGGGTGTTATGACAAGGCAAATAATGTACCAATTAACAATAATTATTATTGCCCTAGAGCCATTGTAACTGCAGATCGTAAATTTATTTATATGAATAACTAATTCTTTGCTGGAAAAACTTAAAAAGCAATGAATAATCTAGCAGCACTTTAAAGACTAACAAAACATGTAGATGGTATCTTGAGCTTTTGTGGGTGCAACCCACTTCTTCAGAAGAATGGAGCATTAAAAGTCCAGATCCAAGAATAAATAAGGAAAGTAGAAGGGAAGGAAGGGAGAAAAAAAGTGACTTAGAGTGTTCAAGTTTCAAGGAGCTGAAATATGCTAATTCTTTGAAATTTACTAAGCTTATTTTAAAAACAAAATTAATAGAATATTGTAAGATCTTCAGCAATCCAATTATTCACCTGTATGAGCTTTAAACCTGAGTCTTGGAGTAGGTCTCTGACCTTGTACAGCTCCTAAGGAGCTATAGATACCGTTAAAGATATTGCACTGTGCAGAAGTGAGAAGGCTAACTATTATATACAAAAATGTAGCATGAGGGTTGTGCTTTATAAGCTTCATAAACTTTATACCTCTGCTGGTGTATATTGGCATAGCTCTGTTGACTTCAGATTTACACCAGCTGTGGGGATCTGACTCAGTATGTTCAAAGCGCTGTATAAACATTGACCGTTCTTTACAATATACTTGTGAGGTCAGTACATTATAAAGGAGCAGCAAAGCATGCCACTTGCAGTATGTGCCAGAACCCTGTTGAGTACTGCGTCATGAGATATGGCAAGTCAAGGGCTATTTCAAGAAACTAAATTTATGTTGCATCTTATGATATAGGATTACATTGCAGGTTAACAACTATACATCATGTTCAGAGATTAATCTCTGTCACACCATGGGAAAAAATCTGTCTATTTTTGTAACACATGAAAGGAGAGGCGTTAAATTACTACATGACCTCTAAATATGAAGAGTACACCTTTTTCTTTGCTTTAATTTAAGTAATAATGGAGGGAGATGGACAAACCTGAATTGGTGGAAGAAGCTAGTAGTGATAAAGAAAAGGGGTGGGCAAAAGAGGCTAAAGAATAAAATGGCTAAAGAACATAGATGTGCTATTGGGATGTTGGAGACAAAATTTGATAGAACATGTCACAGGGGGTATGTCTACACTACCCTCCTAGTTCGAACTAGGAGGGTAGTGTAGACATACCCCCTGTGACATGTTCTATCAAATTTTGTCTCCAACATCCCAATAGCACATCTATGTTCTTTAGCCATTTTATTCTTTAGCCTCTTTTGCCCACCCCTTTTCTTTATCACTACTAGCTTCTTCCACCAATTCAGGTTTGTCCATCTCCCTCCATTATTACTTAAATTAAAGCAAAGAAAAAGGTGTACTCTTCATATTTAGAGGTCATGTAGTAATTTACCCCGCTAGTTCGAACTAGCGGGGTAGTGTAGACATACCCTGAGAGTGGGTAAGAGAGATATAATCGGTAACATAAATAATATATATAAAATCCTACTCTGACTACATACATGCTCATACCAAGATTACTTTTTACAAAGAAAATTTACAAGAGCAATAATTCAGACCTTGATTTTCTGACATGCAATATCAATACAAATATGATGGGAATTGCACTATGGACAACAAAGATCCAGGTTTGTGATATGGCATTTGTTTTTCTCTCTCCTGTCAACATCTTTTGTTTCTGGTGAGTGAAGAATAAAATAATGGATGCTCCATTCACATCTATAATGAAACCTTAATATTAAAAAACAAGAGAGATCTATTCCTTGACCAGAGAGCAGCATATGGGAAATGTCAAGGCAAAATTTCAGTGGTGTCAGCCTTATCTGTAATTTTGCACTTGCACTGCAAAAACTTGCAGGCACAATTAGCTGAGGGTTCATATGATAGAATTCAGCCACCTAATTTGTGGATGTAAATCTTATTTTCACTCACAAAGAAGGTCAGTTGATTCTTACTTTTACCATTTATGCATAGAGTATTGTGCATGCTGTAGACTACAGATGTGAAATTACACAATTTATTTGGAACATCTGGACTAATTTAAAAAAACACCTTATTTTTGTGCAGGTGAGAGTAGAGGTAAGGGCCAACAAGAGTCCTCTATTTTTTCTTCAGATTACTACTAAATAAAAATGATAGCACATTGTTCTAACTGAAATGTGGCTATTTTGAATGTAAACTGAATTAAATGTATTTTAATTAATTGGCATATCATTTTCTATAAATAATGAGATCAGACTCTGTCTAAGAATCCCTTGGTTTGATTGCCCAGAAGTGATAGAGCTTATGTAAAATCAAATTGTAAAAATACAATCAGAAACTGTGAAATATTACTCTAAAGAGTGGCACTGCTTTTCTGATTAGAAACAAACAACTTGTTTTGGACAGAGGACATTAAAATGCCAGAGGTGTTTATGCAATTTTAGGAATAGAAGGCTTCATTAGCTAATTGATATATGGCTACAATAGTATCTGAGGTACTCAGTTACTACAGGGATGAGCAACATAGCAGATGCTTATAAATATAATTAAATACCTGCTGCAAATTAATGTCACACTGCTGAAATCAATAAAGTGATACGGATTTACACCAGTTGCGGATCTAATGATTTGTTTATTGTTATCCTTTTTTTTACATAGATCTGATTTAGGGTGGGAAATCATTGTGACAAAGATTTATAATTTGTATTTTCTAGTAAAGAGCTGTTTACTCTAAGGTGCTGTATAATAATAAACAAGTATGCCACATATCTTTCAGAATTGAAGGGATCTTTTCCATAATGTATTCATTTTGTTCACGTTCCTATTTGGATTTTTCTGTCTTGTAGGTAATTGCTCTAACCTTGGATCTCAGTGATGGCTTCCTCTATTGGCTTGTGCAAGACAGCCTGTGTCTAAATCTGTACAGAGTATCACTTTGTGGAGAGAGGTAACAGTATTTCTAAGGGTACATCTCTCTCTCTCTCTCTCTCTCTCAAATACATTGACCAATGAGAATTTCAGTGCATCCTTTCCTCTGTGTTTCCGCTTTTTAAACTGAAAGGGCTTCAAGGCAGGAACTCTTTTATATTATGTGTATTGTACTAAGCTGAACATGTTGTTAGTCCTAAGTAAATAATGATCACCTGTAGCTTATGGACAACTCTGGGTTGTGTTACCAGGAAGTTATTCATATTTTTCATAATGATAGAAACAGCATGGATATGGACGCTTGGTTCAGTTGAGGTTATACTTGGACTTGTAACATTAGAAATAAGTAGTTCATTTTCCATATTATGTTGAATCTGGATCATTTTGTAAATCTGACATTTCTCAAATATCAAGGGCAGCAACTAATACTCCTTGCCCTTGGGTTAGGACTGGAATTTGCAGCCCTTACCCACATGAGCAATCAGTAGTCACATGGTAGTCTTTTTGACCCCATGAATATGAGATGGATGCCTTATTCACAAATGGAAAAGCCACAAGCGTGTTTCATAGGTCACGTTAGATTAATGTTGATCAGTCCTTTAGCTCACTTTCCCGTGTTTTATGCATGTGCCATATATGAACAGAAAAACTACTTACAAAGGGTTTACAACTTTTTTTTTTTAATTTTTCGGTATCCTTTCATATGTAAAGCTTCTTTTAGTTACTGCAAGTCCAACTGTACAGGAATCAGAGTGAACCTCTAAAAATGACTTAAAAGGCATATCTATTTCACATGGAGTCTTCTGCTATATCTAACCTATGAGCTAGGGGTGTGATTCCGCTACTTATCTACACATACTTGGGCTAGCTGTCATTGAGCTAGCACAAGTATAAATAGCAGTGTGGTAGGAGTAGCATTGGTAGTGGCCGCAGAGGCATGGCTGAACCGTGCCCATTACAAACCCACCTGAAACCAGTGGACAAGTGTTTGGCACAGGTCAGCGGCCCCCTACCAGTGCTACTGCTGCCACACTGCTATTTATACTTGCACTAACTCAAGGACAGCTAGCACAAGTATGGGCACATGAGCAGGAGAAACACGCCCCTCGCTTGGACTGAAGACCCAGTCCTGTATGTCATCAACTAAATTTTAAGATTGATCTCAGACTCACTGGTGGCCAGTGTACTATGAACACATAAGTTTGTGTGAGGGGCAATACTTGCAACTCAATTGTGAACCAGCTGCAAGGCATATATCATCTTTGATGGTATTCAGAGCAAAGAGAGTCAGAGTAATCAATCTTAATGGACCAAACAGCATGTAGGAGCCTTTCAGATCTGTATTGGAGAGCATGTGTCAAAGCTGAAAGATATTTCTAAGGTGGTAAAATGATGTCTTGGTAACATATCTAATCTGTTGCCCAGAAGATAAATTGGGATCAAAGAATACTTACAAGATTTGACACAGAAGTGGCATGCTAGATCAAATCACCATTCCTACTGCTGGGGGCAAGGGTTAATAGCTTTTAATAAATAAGGGCATGTTACCCTGAAAACAATCAGTCACATTACACCTTGGGGTCGAATTCTGTTGCTAATGAAGTTCATCTCCTGCTTTCCAGTGATTTCAGTGGGAGCAGAATTGAGCTCCTAATGTGAGCTGCATGTCAGATGTTTCACTGGAGCTGTGATAGGAAGGAGATCAGTTTTCAAAATGTTCAGTTCTGCATGTAGGTTCTAAAATGAGCAAAAGGAGGTATGATTGGGCATCATCTGGGGGAACTGAGCTCCTGATTTAGGCTCCCGAGTTTGGGTACTGGGCATAGAGTTGCATTTCTCATATGGAAATAATGTGACAGTGCACTGGAGATTTGCCAGGCAAATTATTTGTGTGGCTGCTGATTCGCTGGTTGTAGGTTGCCAGTGAGTTATGTATCCATTTTAAGTCTAAGTTAGCTTTATTACTTTAGCAAGAAAATGAAGAAGAAATTAGAGTCTATGCTATAAGGAGCCTTTCAAGAGGGCTGAACCAAGTGGACAAGGAACATTTATACCATGTCTCCAATACCATAGGCCCTTACCCATGCAATAGATATGCAACTCTCTGTGAGACGGAGAGGGTTCGTATGGAGCCACTGTGCCAGTTGCACAGATAGATCTTTGCAGAAATCCGTGGCTCGTTTGTCCTGACTGGATCACTGTATCTTTCGTATTTGTTTTCTTTGTTAGGAGTTAAGGACTGGGTGAGAGGAAGGGTTGGGAAAGTAACCGCTCTGCTATGGCACCAAACGCCATGCCTTATTCGGCGGCTTCAGTTAAGCTTTCGCTGCTCTTACCCTTGCGATAACATCATCATGCTGGAGTCCTCTTTCAGTTAGCGGAGACATATCCCCTTGGCTGGTTGTTCTGTGTGCTCTGTTGGTGGCAGTTGTACCAAGCGAACTACTGGAAGAACCCCATCAGCCACCCTATAGGAGCTGATCTTATCTAACCTTCTTTAAAGAGGAATTTACTGTCTGTATGTCTCACAAGGCTGCCGGGGAATTCCATTGGAGTGCAGAGGCAGCAGTGGTGCAGGAAATGAAAGGGAGAGAGCAGGATAATAAAGACCACAGTGGCTAATCAAAATGGGAGGATTGTTTTCAGTTATACAAAAAGACAGGGATGTCTTTAATAAAGGATACTATATTGTCTCCTTTTGAATAATTTATCATACTTAGCATAAATGTTTACCTCATTTTAAAGGTGTCATCTTATAAGAACTGAAGAAACAAACTGTTTTGGGGGCTCTAGTCGTGCATCTGATTGAGGGATATTCAGTGGAGGGGAGGAAGCAGGAACTAAAAGAAAAACTTTTTATTTGTTCTTATTACTTGTCTAAGGGGAAGGAGAACTTGAAGGATAAAGTTTAAGGTATCCAAGTGTGTTACCTAGATCCTTTTCTTCTTACAAAGCAGGTTGTGGCTTAGGAAATACCATATTTATGTTCACAGTTGTGGTGATGCCATAGTCACTGAATTTGCAGGATGGAGTTCTTCAGAAGTATCCTACAGTGCACTGCTGTATTATAGTGGACGGCTGTTCTGGATTAATGGCTATCGGTTCCTTACGATACAAGAAATTAATCAGAGTATTAACATCCCCTTTTCGCAACCAGCAGAATTTGCAACTTTTACCCTAGTTCAGAGGTCACTCAAACCTCTGCCAGGTATTTGATTTTCTGATCTACAGATCTTTAAAATGTATCCCTTGTCAGCTTGTAATTCTTGATTATTAACAGCTGAGTGGGAAAAGATGTGAATACAGCCCTCTTGTTAATACATTTATCAGAATAGAGATAGATAACCTGTGGAAGACAAATCGAATAATATTGACATGGTCTAACCAACTTAAATCATTTTATTAACAATTTATTAATGGAGGTTAATGGAACTTGTGCTCATAAATCACATAGATTTGTAAATTTCACTATTGTTCATAACTCTTTTTTTTTCTCATTTTCTGGACCACAGGCAACTTTTCCTCCCCACCCAGGGTGATTCCAGAATTAATTCTGGAATCTTCCTTTAGAATCGAAGGGAATTCTTCACATTTTCACATCCTTTGGAATGCTTCCATCCCTGTGGAATGGGGCACTGTCTTCTACTGCGTGGAGTCCAAAGTTCTACAGACCAGGGTATCCATGAGATTCTTTCCCATCATCTAGAAATATTGCTCCTGGACACTGACAGCTTTAAAAATTAGACCGCTTATGCCTTTATGTATTTATTTTATAGATACATGACAGATCTTCATGCTCTTCAAAAGAATGCTTGAATTACTTTGATTTAACCACCAATCAAAATAGACCATAATAGGTCTAGTTATAAACATCACTTGATTTTAGCATATTTGATAAACTCTTGTTACACTCAAATCAAAGTGGCAGATTCTCAGGTGGTGTAAATGGTCATTGCTCTATAGAATTCAGTGGAGCTACGACTGTTCAAAATAAATGTAGTCTCCTCATTTTGGTAGGGGTTGTTTTGTAAAAAGTAAAGACTGGGAATGTTTACCAAGTTTTTCTAAGAGGAGAAAAATGTTTTGTGCTTATTCTAGCTTGTCGACAGTCAACGCTGCCTGCCTCCTCAGAGTCTCACAGTGCCATCCTACAAAGTTGAAGGGCTGGAGCCCTATATACTGTTTGATTTTACAGTGACTCCTTATACCTACTGGGGGGAAGGACCTTCAACATCCATATTCCTTCGAGCCCCTGAAGAAGGTACCAAGCTTTCAAATTTCATTTCTAATCTTTAATGTGTTCATTCTTTTCCAGGATATGGGGGGGGGGGGGAGGGCGAGAGAGGGAGGGGCCTTTCTAAAGAGGCGGAAGCTGCCTCCAGACATTGACGTGAATCCTAGAGAATGCAGATACTTATTCTTGAGTACAGGACTATGTAGCATTTTAAAGACTAACAAGATGGTTTATTAGATGATGAGCTTTCGTGGGCCAGACCCACTTCCTCAGATCAAATAGTGGAAGAAAATAGCCACAACCATATACAGGCAGTCCCCGAGTTACGCGGATCTGACTTACGTCGGATCCGCAGTTATGAACAGGGCCCTCCCTCTCCCTGGTCTCCAGCAGACCAGGGGGACGGGGAGCAAAGCGGCGGAACACGCGGGCAGCGGACAGCCCAGACGCGTCTGGGCTGTCCACTGACTTGCGTCGGATCCGCAGTTATGAACAGGGCCCTCCCTCTCCCTGGTCTCCAGCAGACCAGGGGGACGGGGAGCAAAGCGGCGGAACACGCGGGCAGCGGACAGCCCAGACGCGTCTGGGCTGTCCACTAATAATGTCAGTCTGTGCGTTGTTGCGGAAGCTGTGTATATAGAAATCCAGATTGTAATTCCGACCGTCAGGGGGAGTCCATATAGAATTATTTTTCCTTTGGTGTTGGTAGGGGGGATCTGGTAGGTCAGATTGATGTTCAGTGGTGGTTTGGAAATATTCTCGGAGACGGAGGCGGCGAAAAAAAGCCTCAAGGTCACCACAAAATTGTATCCAGTTTGTGGGGGACGTGGGGCAGAAAGAGAGACCCCGGGACAAGACAGACTCTTCTGCTGGATTGAGTTTGTAGCTGGAGAGGTTAACAATATTATCCGGTGGGTTGAGGCAGTTGCTGTTGTAGCCAGTGGTATGGAGCAGGTTAGAAAATTTATTGTCTTTTCTTTGTTGTAGGGAATAGAAGTGTGTATAGTAGATTTCTTGTCTGGTGGAACAAAAGTCTTGCAAGGTGTCAGTCGGTGTGGATGTTTGTCTTGAGATGAGACGATCTAAGTTAGAAATGTCATTCTTGATGGTTTTCTGTTTCTTGTATAAAATACTTATCAGGTGGTTTCTTAATTTCTTGGATAGTGTGAGGCAGAGTCTTTCACTGTAGTCAGTGAAGTATGTTGATCTTAGTGGATTGTTCACTTTCAGTCCTTTGGGTACGATGTCCATTTTCTTGCACTTGGATAGAAAGATGATGTCTGTCTGTATCTGTGCGAGTTTCTTCATATGGTTGATGGATTTCCATTCCAAACGGCTAAATGTAGTGCCTTGCATGTAGAATAGTGATAGAAATGTAGCCGTGTTAGTCTGGGGTAGTTGAAGCAAAATGCAGGACAATGTAGCACTTTAAAGACTAACAAGATGGTTTATTAGATGATGAGCTTTCGTGGGCCAGACCCACTTCCTCAGATCAAATAGTGGAAGAAAGTAGTCACAACCATATATACCAAAGGATACAATTTAAAAAAATGAACAAATATGAAAAGGACAAATCACATTGCAGAACAGAAGGGGGATGCGGGGGGGTGGGAAGGGGGAGGAAGGAAGGTAAGTGTCTGTGAATTGCTGATATTAAAGGTAGGGAGAGTGGGATGTTTGTGAGTTAATGGTATTACAGGTGATAATTGGGGAAACTGTCTTGGTAATGGGTGAGAAAGTTCAAAGACTTGTTAAGTCCTTGTTGGTAAGTGTCGAATTTTAACATGAATGACAGTTCAGAGGATTCCCTTTCAAGTGCAGATGTAAAAGGTCTTTGTAGCAGAATGCAGGTGGCTAAGTCATTTAGAGAGTGTCCTTTCTGGTTAAAGTGGCAAGAAACTGTTTTCTCTTTGTGATCTTGTCTGATATCTGTTTTGTGGGCATTAATCCTTTGGCGAAGTGTCTGAGATGTTTGTCCAATGTACATAGCAGACGGACACTTTCGGCACATGATAGCGTAGATTATATTTCTGGATGCGCAGGAATATGTGTTCTTGATCTTATAACTCACTTGGTTAGGTCCAATAATGGTATCAGCAGAATGAATATGTGGACAAAGCTGGCAACGGGGTTTGTTGCAAGGGAAGGTACCAGGGTTGGTATTAGTGTGGTATGTCCTGTGGTTGTTGGTAAGAATCATCTTGAGGTTAGGTGGTTGTCTATAGGAGACTATGGGTCTGTCTCCCCGAGCCTCTTGGAGTATGGTATCCTGTTCCAGTATAGGGTGTAGTTTATTGATAGTGTGTTGGACAGGTTTAAGTTGGGGGTTGTAGGTGATGACAAGTGGTGTTCTATTGTTGGTTTTCTTGGGTCTGTCTTGAAGTAGATGGTTTCTAGGTATTCGTCTGGCTCTTTCAATTTGCTTTTTTGTTTCTCTGGGTGGGTAGTTGAGATTTATAAATGCTTGGTAGAGATCCTGAAGCTTCTGGTCTCTGTCAGTGGGGTTAGAGCAGATGCGGTTGTATCGAAGGGCTTGGCTATAGACGATGGATCATGTGGTGTGTTCTGGATGGGAGCTGGAAGCATGTAGGTAACTGTATGAGTCAGTGGGTTTTCTGTAGAGGGTGGTGTCTAATTTTCCATTGTTGATTTGTACTGTGGTGTCCAGGAAATGGATCTCTCGTGTAGAATGGTCCAGGCTGAGGTTAATGGTGGGGTGTAGGTTGTTGAAATCTCTGTGGAATGTCTCCAGTGTTTCTTGGCCATGCGTCCAGATAAAAAAGATGTCATCGATGTAGCATAAGTAGAGAAGGGGTAAAAGGGGACGGGAGTTGAGGAAACGTTGTTCTAGGTCAGCCATAAAGATGTTAGCATACTGTGGGGCCATGCGTGTACCCATGGCTGTGCCGCTGATCTGGAGGTATAAGTTGTTCTCAAACTGGAAATAATTGTGGGTGAGAACAAAGTTACATAGGTCTGCTATCAGGTTGGCAGTGGTGTCCTCTGGGATAGTGTTTCTAATTGCTTGTAATCCGTCTTCATGTGGGATGTTGGTGTATAGTGCTTCTACATCCATGGTGGCAAGGATGGTGTTATTGGGGAGGTTATCGATGTTTTGTAGTTTCCTTAGGAAGTCAGTAGAGTCTCGGAGATAGCAGAGGGTGTTGGTTGCGTAGGGTTTGAGGAGAGAGTCTACATAGCTGGATAGACCAGTAGTGAGCGTGCCAATACCAGAGATGATGGTGCGTCCGGGGTGTCCAGGTTTATGGATCTTGGTAAGCAGATAGAACAATCCTGGTCGGGGGTCAGAAGGTGTTTCTGTGTGGATTTGTTCCCGAGTAGCTGTAGGGAGGCTTTTAAGGAGACAGTGTAGTTTGTTTTGGTATTCCGAGGTGGGATCAGAGGAGAGAGGTTTGTAAAATGTGGTGTTGGAGAGTTGTCTGGTTGCCTCCTGGTTATAGTCGGCCTTATTCATAATGACCACAGCACCCCCTTTGTCAGCTGGTTTGATTATAATGTCCAGGTTCTTTTTGAGACTCTGGATGGCATGGTATTCAGCGTGGCTGAGATTGTGTGTCGCTTGTTGTTGTTTGCAAATAATGTTAGTCTGGGTGTTGTTGCGGAAGCTTTGTATATAGAAATCCAGATTGTAATTCTGACTGTCAGAGGGAGTCCATATAGAATTATTTTTCCTTTTGTGTTGATAGGGGGGATCTGGTAGGTCAGA